GCTGGGGATGGATTCGGAGCTGGTAGAAATAGAATCGGAGCTGGTGAAGATGGATTCGGAGCTGATGAAGATGGATTCGGAGCTGATGAAGATGGAATCGGAGCTGGTGGAGGCGGAATCGGAGCTGGTGGAGGCGGAATCGGAGCTAGTGGAGATGGATTCGAAGCTGGTGGAGGTGGAATCGGAGCTGGTGGAGGCGGAATCGGAGCTGGTGGAGGCGGAATCGGAGCTGGTGGAGGCGGAATCGGAGCTGGTGGAGGCGGAATCGGAGCTAGTGGAGATGGATTCGAAGCTGGTGGAGATGGAATCGGAGCTGGTGGAGGCGGAATCGGAGCTGGTGGAGGCGGAATCGGAGCTAGTGGAGATGGATTCGAAGCTGGTGGAGGTGGAATCGGAGCTGGTGGAGGCGGAATCGGAGCTGGTGGAGGCGGAATCGGAGCTGGTGGAGGCGGAATCGGAGCTAGTGGAGATGGATTCGAAGCTGGTGGAGATGGAATCGGAGCTGGTGGAGGCGGAATCGGAGCTGGTGGAGGCGGAATCGGAGCTAGTGGAGATGGATTCGAAGCTGGTGGAGGTGGAATCGGATCTGGTGGAGGCGGAATCGGAGCTGGGGGAGGCGGAATCGGAGCTGGTGGAGGCGGAATCGGAGCTAGTGGAGATGGATTCGAAGCTGGTGGAGGTGGAATCGGAGCTGGTGGAGGCGGAATCGGAGCTGGTGGAGGCGGAATCGGAGCTGGTGGAGGCGGAATCGGAGCTGGTGGAGGCGGAATCGGAGCTAGTGGAGATGGATTCNAAGCTGGTGGAGGTGGAATCGGAGCTGGTGGAGGCGGAATCGGAGCTGGTGGAGGCGGAATCGGAGCTAGTGGAGATGTTTTCCATCTTCAGCTGGAGAGCANGAGCTGGAGCTGTGGTAGCCGAACCTGNGTCCTGTGTCCTGNGTCCTAGTACTGCAGCTATTGGAACTGACGATTATGATCCTGAAGCTGAAATTGGAAGCAGCTGGAACTAGAGCTGTTTGGGCCGGACCTGGATCTTGGAATACATCGACAACTTCATAGATAATCTTGATGATTATTTTCTCTCCGGACCATTATTCTCTTCAGGGACCGCAGAAATCCTATAGAGCAGTTTTTTTGTAATTGACAACTTTCATCTAACTTTTCTACTTTTTCAGATATTTCAATTTGAAAGATTACCTTCTCCATATTCCTTCTGAACATATCCACCATAGGGGTATCCATTCGATCAGCTCCCGACAAATGACTATGTGCCAAATGTACAAACCAGTTCCATGAGAATTTTGGATCATCTAAATTCAAAACATTCAAATTTCCCGCAGCCCAGAGAACTACAGTAACCTGAATAGGCCTCTGCAAACTGCTCAAAATATTCCATAGCCGATTGATGGACCTCTCGACAGAATTGTCCATTTAAATGCTTCTTGGTGATCTTCAATCCAGTATAATCCCATATTTTGTTGAATAAATTGAAATTGTGAGTGGTGTAGAAATTTTGGAAGCCTTTACAATCCGGATTGTTTGTGAGCGTTTGACTGGACCAGTCGTCTATGTAGGCTGTCTGGAAAAACGTTTTTTTCGTTTTTTGGTAGTTTTGAAAGTTTTGTAATCTAAAAATCTGAATTTTTGTAGTTCTTAGCTTTAAAACGAGCCTAAACACGACCAGATTTTTTAAAACGGAACGCAACCGCGACGCGTCTAACGGAACTTGGAGAATTTCAAAGTTTTTCAACACTAATTGTGTTTGGGCTCATTTTGAAGCTCAAAACGCTACAATTTCAACTTAAAAACGCAAAATCTAAGTTTAAGACATTAAGACCTTCAAAATGAGCCTAAACACGACTATATTCAAAAACACGCATCGCAACCGCGACGCGTCTAACGAAACTCATCAAATTTCAAAGTTTACCAAACCTAGTCGTGTTTAGGCTCATTTTGAAGCTCGAAACGTCGCAAACACAATGTGATTTGTTATAATTCAGATTTAAGACATTGAAAGCTTCCAAATGAGCCTAAACACGACTAAAGTCCAAAACACGCAACGCAATCTAACGAAACTCGTCAAATTTTGTAGTTCATCAACCCTAGCCGTGTTTGGGCTCATTTTGAAGCTTTAAACGACCTGAGTCTATCTTTCCACAAATTTTTGACCAACCTTATACCCAATTTTCTCAAACTCCCTAAACATATCCGTGCGATTATCCAGAAACGTTTTACAGTACTCCTCCTCCGTCCAATCCACTTTTATTGTTTTTCCACCTTTTTGAGTTCCAGCTTCCACTTGTTTTCCTGAAAAAAAAAAATCCAAAAATTTTGTCAATTGAGCGCATTTGCATACCAAACCATAAAGGGACAGCGTTGACTTGACTCCGCGCGGCGACTGGGCTCACAAATGGAAATTCGACAGCTTTGAATTTGGTTTTTAGGTATCCAAGGGTTTTCGGGAGAGATCTGAATTAGAAATTTGAATTTAGGAGATTAGGAGCGTCAAAATGAGCACAAACACGGCTGTGCTAGCTTAAATTTGTTTTCTAACAAGTTCCGTCAGGCGCGTCGCGGTCGCGTTGCGTACACTTGTCGTGTTCGCACTCATTTTGAAGCTTAAGCAAGGTCAAACTCAATTTTGTCATACTCGAAAGTTTAGGACGGACCCAAAAGCTATGAGAACCGTGTGAGCTTCAAAAACGCCACGCAACCGCGACGCTCCGGACGGAATTCGTCAAAAATCAATTTTGAGCTAGCCTGGTCGTGCTTAGGTTTATTTGAAAGCTCACAGATTGTTAAGTTCGAATTTTTTTAAAATAAGTGCTTCAAAATGAGCCCAAACACGGCTAGNGTAGCTCGAAATTAATTTCTAACGAGTTCTGTTAGACGCGTCGCGGTTGCGTAGCGTACCGTCTGGCCATTCCAGTTGCCACAGAATCCACTAAAAACACAAAAACATCCGGATGATCCTCCTTTCTGATTTTTGGCTTTTCCAAATTTCTGAATATCATTTTTTTTTTCTAAGAAAATGTTTTAAAAGAAACTCACTTTGGTCGAATTTGTGTATGAATATATCCATAGGCCTCCTCGGTTTTATTTTTCCAACAAGCAGTTTCCAGAAATTCACAATCCGTGGGTCCCGGTGGAAACCAATCGGTTATGTTTACGGGACTTTTTAGGCTGGTCCAGGTGTGGCATCTGAAAATTGTGAAATCCTTTTTTTGGCTCATTTTGGAGCCCAAAACTTGAGAAACTTCGAGGTTGCTGTCTGCCAAATTATTTGTGGTGTTTAGAGCTTTGAAGTGAGCCTAAACACAACTAGCATCCAAAATACGCAACGCGTCTATCGAAACTTATCAATTTTCAAAGTTCAGCAATCTTAGTCGTGTTCGGGCTTATTTTAAAGCTTAAAGCATGAGGAACTTTGATTTTGCGGTTTGCTAAAAAGTTTGTGGTGTTTTGAACTTCAAAATGAGCCTAAACATGACTAGACACGAAAGCACGCAACGCGACCGCGATGCGTCTAACGAAATTCGCCAATGTTTAAAGCGATTCTAGTTGTGTTTATGCTCATTTTGAAGCCCAAAATATCAGAAATTTGAATTTTGTGTTATTTCAATGTATCCGTAGTGTTTTCAGCTGTTAAATAAGCCTAAACATGACTAGGTACGAAAACACGTCACGCGACCGCAACACGTCTAACAGAACTAGCCAAACTTCTAAGTTTATCAATTCAGTCGCGTCTAAGCTCATTTTGAAGCTCATAACTTTTGAAATTCAAACTTTTTACACGTTCAATGCATTTTTAGTGTCTAGAGTATCTAAATAAGCCTAAACGAGACTAGACCCAATAACACGGTACACGACTGAAACGCGTCTAGCAAACGTCGCCAAAATTCAAAGTCTGGCGATTCTAGTCGTGTTTGGGCTCGTTTCGAAGCTGATAACATGAGCAATATGAACTTTTGAGATTCTCAACGTATTTTTGGCGTTTTGAGCTTCGAAATACGCCTAAACACGACTACTCTAACTCAAACTTGATTTTTGACTAGTTTCGGTAGAGGCGGCGCGGTTGCGTAGCGTGTTTTGAATACTAGACGTGTTTGGGCTCATTTGAAGGCACCTAGAGCAACAAAAAAACGATAAAAACCCGAAAATTTCAAATTCCAAGCTTCAAAGATGAGCCTAAACACGACTATTCTAGCTTTTATTTAATTTTGCTCAGTTCCTTTAGACGCGTCATGGTTGCGTAGCGTGTTTTACACTGTAGTCGTGTTTAGGCTCATTTTGAAGCTTATAACCTCCCAAATAACACTAAACTTGCCTTACAAGTTAAATTCTGCTCCTTAGTGACAATTTTCCATTTTCCCTTCGCCAATTCTGTATACGGTTTCCATGTCCGATTGCAGTTTTTCGTTTTATCGCTTTCGTCCAAAAATGGGATTACTGTATAATCCCATGGATCGATTTGTGGTATTTTACAGTCGTCATTGTATTGAGATACTGTAGATTCTACGTTAGTGGGATTTGTATAGTTTGTAGTTGAAAAAATGACTTTTCGTGTGGAATATTCTGGAAAAGTGAGGTTAGTTTTCTAATAACCGCTACGCGACTGCGACGCCTCTAGGATAGGCTTGTTTAGGCTCATTTTGAAGCTTCCAACTTTCCGAACACAGAAATTTGTTTAAAATTCAAAATCAACAAGTTTAGAGCTTCGAAATGAGCCTAAACACGACTAGGTTAGCCTAAATAGATATTCGACGAATTCTGTCAGACGCGTCGCGGTCGCGTTGCGTGCGCACCTTGATTACTGGTTTGCCAGACGAATGCTCCATACAGCCCAATTAGAAACACAACGGAAAAAGTGAAAATTAGGTGGAATAGGAATTTTCTGAAATTTTTGATTTATTTAAAAATTGGATTTTTGAGAACTTACGGATCTGAAAACCGGCGATTTTGGGGATCTGAAATTTCAAGAAGTTTCGGATTTTTGAGGAAAAAAAAACTCACTTTTCCGATTTTCCAAACTTCCAAAATTGAATAGCAATTCTGAATCTTTGAAATGTTCTTCTTCTAGAAGTTTCCGGCTCATTTTTTCTCTGAAATTTTCAGATTTTACAAGGATTATTCTGGGACGGAAAATTATTTAAAAAAACGAGAAATAACTATATTTGGAGAGGATTCCAGAAAATTTGAAACAGCAAAACTTGTTTTCTCAAAATTTGAGAGAAGTGTAAAAAGTGTATTTTTGAAAATTTCTCTGGAATTTTCAGATTTTCAGAAGTTTTTTTTAATCATTCATGACGTAACACCAACGCACTTGGGTCCAAAGAAACGGGTCAAAAATCGCACCCCAAATAATTTTTTTTTGAAATCTCTTTTCAAAAAGTTTCAGATTTTCCGAAATTATACTGAATGTCAACATCCATTACCTGAGAAATGAATAATATTTTCAAAGAATTTCAAGGAAGTTGAAACAGCAAAAAATGAATTTTCGAAAAGAATTCAAAAAAATATTGGAAATCGAAAAATATATTTTTCTGAAAATTTCAGATTTTCTAAAATATTTTGTGAAAAAATTATGATTTCAGCGAGAGATAGGATCAACGAGTGATAATAATATTTCACGGAAATTCCAGAAAATTTTGAAACAGCGGACAAATTTTTTTTTGAAAATTTGAAGCTAATTTTTGCAAATTTCAGTTGTCTATAGATTATTCGGAAAGCCGTTAACCTTCTACAAGCAACGAGGAGTAATTGGTAGCTTATTAGCAACAAGAAACAATTTTATTCTCAGAGTATTCCAAAAGTTTTGAAACAGCAACTTTTTTTTGCAAAAGTTCGGTAAAAAAGTTATTTTAGCTAAAAATTTAGAAATTTCAATATTTAGAAAAATTTTCATTTTTACGAAAAGTTTTCTGATTGTCTTCAAACGTAGTATGCACAGTTTACGACCTCCTTTCTGTATTTGCTTTTTGAAAATGGAGTAGGCTCTAAAATTTGATTTCGTCATCTTGAAAATTCGATTTGAAACAGTTTTTAATTTTTGAATTTTTCTAACCTTTTCTCAAATTTTTAGCTTAAATTTTGAAAACAAAAAAAAGATTTTCAAAGAAATTTTCTGATTTTTTTAAAATTAATCCGAATGCCAAAACTTTGCTACCAACAAATGAAAATTATATTTTCAGAAAATTCCAGAAACTTTGAAACAGCAAAAAAACATTTTCCCAAAGTTTGAAGTTTGATTTTTGGATTACTAAAAAAATTCTGAAAATTTCAGTTTGAATTTTAAAATTATTCTAAAAGGGAAAATTCAAAAATTAACGAGAGAGAGTTCTAGTTTCAGAATATTCTAGAAGTTTTGGAACAGCAAATATTTTTTGAATTTTTTTTCTCAAAATTTTGATTTAAACTTTCATAAAAAATCCCAAACATATATCAGATTTTTTTGTAATATTCTGAAAGCTGAACTTCTAAAACCAACAAAGGATAATTGAAATTTCAGAGAATTTCAGATGATTTGAAACTGCATTTTTTGCAAAATTTAATTTTAGCTTTTAAAATAATTCTGAGTATGTTCCAGAGAGAGAGTTATATTTTCAGAGTATTCCAAGAGTTTTGAAACAGCAAGCAATTTTTTTCAAAATTTTGGTAGTTATGGAGACACTTTGAATGTAAAAATTATTTTAGCTGAAATATAGAAAATTCAAAATTTCAATATTTTCCTTTTTATGAAAAGGGTTCTGATTGTCTTCAAACGTAGAATGCACAATTTACGACCTCCTTCCTGTATTTGCTTTTCAAAAATGGAGTAGATTCTAAAATTTGATTTTTTGATCTTGAAAATTCAATTTGAGCTCTTTGAGCTCAATTATTTATGTTCCTGTAAGAGATACCATAAACCTGTCAACTGATAAAACATTTATCTTTCTATCTGCATTATTATTAGTTGACCTTTTTATGATATCTCTTACAGTAACCGAGATAAATGAGCTCAAAGCAAATGTATCGTGAAATCAGTACCAGCAGGACCTTTACTTTCATTTTTCAGTTGACCACTTTTTGATACATTCTACAGTAACCGAGATATAAGAGCTCAACGAGCACGAGCTTCAATTTTTTAAAGGTTATTCTAAAAATGAAGACTATCAAACCAACAGAGATTAATGTGTTTTCTGAGAATTTCAATAAAGTTGAAACAGCAAAAAATTTGATATCGGAAAGGATTCAAAAAAATTTGAAAGTCAAAAGATATATTTTGCCTGAAAATTTCAAATTTTCTATAATAACTTCTGAATAAAGTTTTGATATCAACGAGAGATAATTATATTATCAGAAAATTTAAGACAATTTGAAACAGCAAAAAAAACCATTTTACAAAAAAAAATTACCCAAAAATTTCAGATTTTTCAATTTTTTTCTTTTTCGAATTTTGAAATTAAAATTTGGAAAACTAAAAAACCCCTTTTTTCTGAACATTTCAGATTGAAAAACTATTCTGGAAATGAGAAAAAATCTTGAATTCACCGATAGAAAATTATACTTTTCGAAAATTCTAGAAATTTTGAAATAGAAAAAAAAATTTTCTGAAATTTTCAGATTTTTTTGGATTACTGGAACCAAATAATTTTTTCCGGATTAGAACAAAGTATAATTTTTGAAAAAATGTGAAACAGGAAACTGAAAAATTTTGAAAACGCTCTATTTCTTAACATTAAACATTTCCATTTTCCTGAATACGGTACTAATACCTGCCTACTTAATTCCTTCCCTTTTGCCTTATCTTTCTTATCAGTGATAGCAATTTCAAGGTGCATACAATCATTCAATTTACGACTTTCTTATATTTGCTATGGAGTAGGGAGTACTAAAATATGATCATTTGATCTAGAAAATTCAAATTGAAACTTTTAACTTGTTACAAACTTTTTGAAATTTTGGGACACTTTGAGCTCAATTATCTCGGCTCCTATAAAAGATATCAAAAAGTAGTTAGCTGGTAAAATGTTGGTGATAATATGATGAAAATTTTATTAGTTGACTACTTTTTGGCATCTTTTACAGTAACCGAGATAAATAAAGTGAACATACAGTAAAATCAGTAATATAAGGATATTTACTTTTTCAGCTCAATATCTCGGTTTCTATGAGTGATATCAAAAATCTGTTATCTGATAAAAAGTTTACCATATCATCAGCAATATTTTATTAGTTGACCACTTTTCGATATCTCAGTAACCCAGATAATTGAGCTCAAAGTTTGTTTAAACACGTTTCAGGGCTCTACATGCAAAAAGAAAAAAACCTGATATAAAAAAGGTTCCAGAACACTTCCCAACGCGTCCACACACAAAAACAAAAAAGAAAAAAGACTTTGACCACTGAGCGGATCGAACGCCCAACCCACAGGTCATGGGCGCGCATACGCATAATGGATGGGCGACGGAGGACGCGCCGATGAATTGGGTACAGGGAAAGGACGCCGGTATGGGGCATATACGGGGCATATGGGGCACACCGCCGCCGCAAAGCATCTCCTCGCCTGGCTTGCTGGCACTCGATGAAATGAACTAAAACGTTGGTTGGGGGTTCCTAGAAGTATCAGTTAAGTTCTATTGTGATGTGATTTTGTTCAGGTCTTCCGATTTCGTACTTTTCCTTTATTATTCCATATTCTTTTATATTTTGAACGACATATTACTGATTTTTCGAAACTCAATATTTTGGTTTTGAAAAAGACTTATGGCAGTTTCCATCTAAATTTGATATGCAATCAAAAACAGATCAAAATGGGAAAAAATTCGCTAAAAATTGTTTTTTTTCATTTGTTCAAAAAATATGTCTCATTTTCACTTTTTTTGAAATTGCATGAAAAAAATTAAAAATTTTTATAATTTACACTTTGTAATTATTGTATACTTACCAACTTACCTTTTATTCCACCTGAAAATACGATTTTTACAATAATTACAAAGTGAAATCAAAAAATCTCAATATCACCTATTTTGGCGAAAAACATAGCAATTAACGAGTGAAAGACATGTTTTTGCAAGAATTCAGCGATTTTTTATTCTGCCATAATTCTTTTTCACAAAAAACATCGAAGGAATAATCGAAAAATCAGAAATGTAGGCTCGAATTGACAAAGTTGCCGGTGTGGATTTACGGTAAACAATGCGCGCATCCGGGATTTCGGAGTGTTGTAGTCGGCCTACCGTATCAGACCCATATCGCACACATCGCCCACCCACCTAGAATGCATCTAGGAGACGCGCGCATTCGGAACACTCGATTCAGCCGGACCTGTGACCTTTCGATCTGAAGTCGAACGCGCTACCATTGCGCCAAGCAGTCACGGAAGCGAAGGAGGGTGGATGGCGTATAGGAAAGGGAGGAGAGTCTACGAGCAAGTCTACGAAAACTACAGTAACCTGAATAAGCCTCAGCGAACTGATCGAAATAATCAATTGCTCCGTGATAAGACTCTCGACACAAATCGCTTTCTTTTAAGCTATCCTTGGTTTTCTTGATTCCAGAAACTTCATTAATATGGGTGAATGGATAGAAGGTGCGACTTGTATAGTAATTTTCAAAGCCTAAGCAACTTGGGTACTTTGTAAGGATTTGGAAGTACCAGTCGTCAATGTGGAGCGTCCGAAATTTTAGTTCAGTCTTGAATGGTTAAGTTTTATGAAGTTGAAAATGTTAATTTTGAATTCAGCGTTTTTTGAGCTTCAAAATGAGCCTATACACGACTAGGCTAGCTTAACTTTGAGTTTGGCGAATTCTGTCAGATGCGTCGCGGTTGCGTTATTTTGAAGTTTCAGGAATAAACAACTATGTCTCTACAATCAATGATTCGAAATTGGTCAGAAATGACTCGGAAACTTCCAGAATGTCTAAAAATTCAAAAATTCAAAAATTCATAAATTCATAAATTCATAAATTCATAAATTCATAAATTCATAAATTCGAAAATTCAGAAAATTTTTAAACGATTTATTAATTTGAAATGAATAAATTAACTAATTAACAAAAATTTGATTCCTACAGTAACACAAAGAACTAAAATGCACCGGTTTCGAGCACAATGCAGTTGACCCAATTTATCGAGCCTCATAATTTCGTCAAATTTCAATTCTCCAGTTTTTCGATCCTCAGTGACCAGCGTTTCGAAATGTGCGGGATGTTTCGTTTTGACGGCAATGTGATAAGTGATTTTGGCTGATGAGGAGGATGTATGAAGGTCCAGGGCGGACACCTGAAAGCAAAAAAAAAATGACTCCGGAATACTTTTCAGGGGTCCACAGGACTCCACACACAAAAACAAAAAAGAAAAAAGGCTTTGACCACTGAGCGGATCGAACGCCCAACCTTTCGATCTGGAGTCGAACGCGCTACCATTGCGCCAAGCAGTCACACCGTGAGAGACGACAGCAAGACGTATAAGAAGGGGGAGGAGAGTAGTGGTCAGTGAGAGAGAGTGCGCTGAGAAAATTTCAGAAACTCACATGATCAATTTCGTATCTATGACAAATCCCGGTAATTTTATAATTGTTCAATAATCCATGAATATGTTTTATAAGTGCCTCGGCCAGCCGTTGGCTCAGTTTTTTGCTGAAAAAAAAACCGTTTTTTAACCCTAAAGCCTTATAGATTCCCTCACTCTTCCTTCATATCCGTAGACTTTGATTCGCAGATACAGTACTGCTGTGGAATTGGCAAATGTTCACAGTTTCGAGGGGTACTTGGTTGGTGACGAAGATAGGAGTTGCCTTTTTCGTCGGGGATTTTGAGGGTGGCGCGGTCCGTGAAGTTAGTGGAGGGTTGGTACTGGAAAATGGGTTGTAACTTGAAAAGTAAAAAAGCTAGAAAAAAAGTGTAAATTGTAAAAATGTAGAGCGTAAAATTTTGGGCATTTTACAACAAGAATGTTTTTTTCTAGCTCTTTTCCTTCTCGAGATATAGGCGCTCAAAGTTAACGTCAGAGACGCAGACAATCTCGCTTCTCTGCCCTCTCCCACTTTCCATACTCTCTCACTAACCTTCAAAATATCCAAAATCGTTGCTCTGGTATCATACTGACTTTGCAATCGTTGTGCATTCTCTTTCATAACCTCCAAAATTCCATTATCCCGATATTTCTTGGGAACCGAAATTTGTAAAAACGGATTATGCTTCTCGAATTCTCCCATTTCAGTTTTATAAAGCGCCGGGGGTCCCAATTTGAAGCCGTGGTCTGCTGTGAAGATGATGAAGGCGTTGTCAAACTGAAAATGTTATAAAAATCAAGGAAAAGGGGGAGAAGGGAGACGCAGAGAAGCTAGAGTGTGTGACGTCTCTGCGTCTGCCCCTTTCAAACTTTAAAGACGCATAACTCAAAAACTAAGTTAGCTAATTAAAAAGTTCAAGACACAAAAATAGAGCACATAAAATTTTCTACAATTTCGTTGTTAATTTTTTAACCTAGCTTTTCTAGTTTTCAAGATTCACCTCTCCAAAGTTAGCATACCAATTCAAAATTCCTCTCAAACCATGCCAACATAGGATCATCGAGTCTATCGGCTCCAGCTAAGAAGTTGTGTGCCAAATGTACAAACCAATTCCATGTGAACTTTGGGCGGTCTAAAATATTTCAAAAATTGATCAAAAATTCAAAGTTCCCGCCTTCACGAGGACTACAAAACCTGGATAAACTTTGACAAACTGATCGAAATACTCCATGGCCGCTAGATGAACCTCTCTGCATAATTTATCTCCGGCCAAGTGATTTTTAGTTTTTTGAAGTCCTTCTTTCTCCCAAATTTTGGTATACGGGTAGAATGTGTGATTCGTGAAGAAGTGTTCGAATCCTTTGCAGTCTGGATTGCTGGTCAGCGTTTGGTAGTACCAGTCGTCTACGTAGAGAGTCTGGAATTGCAAAATTTAGATTTTGAAGGTTGAGAGCTTCAAAATGAGCCCAAACACAACTATGCTAGCTTAAATCTTATTTTTGATTAGTTCTGTCTGACGCGTCGCCGTTGCGTCGCGTATTCTAGTCGGTTTAGATTTAGATTCCCTCAACACGCAACGTGACCGCGACACGTCTAACGGAACTTGTCCGATATCAAATTTAGGCTAGCATAGTCGATTAAGGCTCATTTTCACGCTCTCGTTTGGAGCTAACTGAGTTTTAAACCATGAAAAGCTAATCTGCTTATTCAGAGCTTCAAAATGAGCCTAAACACGACTATGTTTCGTTTTCGTACGCAACGCAACCGCGACGCAGGCAACGGAAATCGGAACATTTTGGAATGTAGCGAAAGTAGTCGTGTTTAGGCTCATTTTGAAGCGTTTTTTTATGATTAATTTGCATTTTCATATAACACAATTTTTCAGCTGATTGTAAGCTCCAAAATGAGCCTAAACACAAATATTGTTGCTAAGCACGCAACGCGACCGCGACGCCTCCAATAGAATTCGCCAAAATTGAAATTTAACCAATTCTAGTGGTGTTTAGGCTCATTTTGAAGCTTGTCACCTAGTGATCACAAATTTTGACCTCATTTCCACCTACCGTATACCCAGCCTCCTGAAAATCCTTGTATAAATTCGTCTCATTGTCCATATACTTCTTACAGTACTCATCTTCACTCCAATCCACATGAATTTGCTCTCCACCTTTTAAAGTACCAGCTTCTATTTGTTTTCCTGAAAAATCAATAATTTGAAAAAAATATGTCACTAGAGCGCATTTGTATACCAAACCACAGTGGAACAGCATTGACTTGACTTCGCATACCGACTTGGCTCAAAAACGGGAAATCGATGGCTTGATGTTTGGTTTTGAAGTATTCCAGGGTTTTGGGGAGAGATCTGAAAATATAACATTTGGATTTGGAAGGTAAGGAGCTTTGAAATGAGCCCAAACACAACAAGATTCTCTTGACAGGCAACGCGACCGCGACGCGCCACTCGTCAAAAATCAGATTGAAGCTAGCATAGTCGTGTTTGAGCTCATTTGGAAGCTCTCAACTAGAAAAATCCGGATTTAACTGTTATTAAGCTCTGAAATGAGCCCAAACACGTCTAGCCAAGCGCAAACTTGATAATTCACTACTTCCTTTAGATGCGTCGCGGTCGCAATGCTTTTTTTCAATATTAGTCATGTTTGGGTTTATTTTGAAGCTCGCATCTTTCCAAACTTAAATCTCATACCTTTTTGCCATTCCCGACGACAATGAGTCCACAACAAAAACAAAAACATCGGGATACTCCTTATTCTCAATGTTGGGCTTCTCCAGCTCCTTGAATTCCAGAATTTTCCTGGAATTCCAGAATTTTCTTAATTTTCAGTTTAAAAAGTTTCTTACTTTGGTATAATTTGTGTATGAATATATCCATAGACCTCGTTTGTTCCTTCCCAACACACTGCTTCTAGGAATTCACAATCCACGGGTCCTGGCGCAGACCAATCGGAGATTTTCGAGGGTCCCGAAAGGATTGGGAGGTAGAAGCATCTGAAAAATATCTAATTTGGATCAATTTATCTCAGTTTATGTAAAAGGTATTAAAATTTTGTCAACTGATAAAATGTGTGGAATTTTGTCAGAAACATTTTATCAGTTGATCACTTTTTGATATCTTTCACCGGAACCGAGATAAATTAGGTCAAAGCAGATGAGGTCCGACGGACGATGCTGAACCGCGACGCACTCAACGAAACTCATCAAATGTTCAATTGGGAGCTAATCTAGTTGTGTTTGGGCTTATTTTGAAGATTTCAACTAGCTAATCATGGAAACTAGCACAAAAATTCAAATTTGTGAAATCCCCAGCTTCAAAACAAGCCTAAACACGACTAGATTAGCCAAATTCCAATTTTTGACAAGACTCGTCGCGGTTGCATTGCGTTTCTCCAACCCTAGTCGTGTTTGGGCTCGTTTTGAAGCTTTTGACTAGCTAATTATGGAAAACAGCACAAAAATTCAAATTTGTGAAATCCCCAGCTTCAAAATGAGCCTAAGCACGACTATGCTAACTGAAATTTCGTTTTCGACTAGTTTCGTTGGGTGCGTCGCGGCCGCGTTGCGTTTCCTCTATCCTGATTGTGTTTGGGCTCATTTTGAAGCTCCTAACTTCCGAAAATCAAATATCTTACTCACCTAGCTTTACAATTCATTCCTGGCTTCTCCTGAACTATTCTCCATGTGCCATTCACTAATTCTGTATACGGTTTCCATGTCCTATCACAATGCTTCGTTTTATCCACATCTACAATAAAAGGCTTGATTTGTTTGTCCCATGGATCGTAAACTGGTAATGAGCAATCATCTTTGAATGGAATTGGAGTCGTAGAAATGGATTCTGACGATGTAAAATTTTCGGAAAATTCTAGACTTCCTGAAATCTCAGAGTCCTCAGGATCATCAAAATTCGCTTCCGTTGTGTTTGATGTGTTGTCATTAAAGAAATTTGAGTAGCTGGGAAGTGAGAGATTCCGGAATACAGCAATGGGATCTGGAAATAAACTGATGTGCAACCTGAACTTGTCAAAAATAAATTTTAAGCTATCCTAGTCGTGTTTGGGCTCTTTCTTAAGCCCAGAAATAGCTGAATTCAAAATTTTCAGGTTTGGAGCTTCAAAATGAGCCCAAACACGACTAGATTAGCTTAATTTTGTTTTTGACAAATTCCGGGGCGTTACCC